GGGGGGGGGGGGGGGGGGGGGGGGGGCATTGACCAGGACCATGACCATGATAGTTGAGGCTTGTAGTTCAGGGCATGTATATTATTGAACTCTTTGCTCCAACAATCATCGGCCTCATACTGTTTCATCAGTGAAATTCAATTTTGTGAGCTTGCCTCTGTAGGAAGTACCTCTGATGGTGGAGTCTCCAACCCCCACCCTACCCTTCCCCTGGTGGGACATGGAAAAGGGGAAGGAAAAGTGATTTTATTATCATTGGCCAAATATGTAGGATAAGGTTTGGTCTTCTGAGTCACTTATGAAGTTATGATGCCTGAGGTATTGTACATCATACTGGGGGGGAGGGGGAGGGGGGCTTGAGCTGCAGAACAGAGCACTTATCTGTATCTTATATACGTGCTCATATTCTATCATGGGACTAGGAAAAATAATGTGGAAGTAGGGAATTCTACAGCCATGATCATATTTTTTTTTGGGTAAATCAGCCATGATCATATTGACTAGTAGTCTGCTTTGGAAGTCTGTTGTGCTTAGCATGATTGCTTCACTCATTCAGAGGTTTCTATGGAGGAAAGCATAGCATGAGTTCCTGTCTATATTCTTTGAATGACCTCTTGGTTATATTTGCATAGTTTCAAATCAAGGGTGTAAAGTAATCTTTTTTCTGTTGCATTGAGAAAAGAGTGTTAAGGTTGGGGTGTCCAGCTTGATGATATATGCTTAACTTTCAAATCATAGGAGAGACTTTCAAGATTGGGTTCTCAAAGTTTTAGCTATCCCAATTCTGCTTGAAATAATTTGTCTGGGAATTATGGAGGAAATGAATACTAATTTAGTCTTAGGGGTGTTCAAATTTCCGACCGGCCGCAAGTTCCGACCCTACCCTACACTACTGAACGGTTAGTCGCAAAAATCGGGTAGGAATGCGGGAGAGTTTTTAGTCTTCCGACAATTTTCGGGTAGGAATGCTGAATAGCCATCCATTTCCGCATTTCTACCCTACCCTCCCAGTAATAATTTATATATATATATATATAAACCAAAAAAACCCTAAATCCTAACCACAAACAGAGCAATTATGATTTTAATGGATTTCATATGGTTTAAAGTTTAAACTTAAATTAATTGTTATTGTATTTGTGTAACAATTATGGTGGATTGATGTTTATACTTTCTTCTGTTTTATTATAATTCTTGTTGTAGTTGTTTTAGATTTTAGTGTTAATTGATTTATTGTGTTGTTAAATTGGTGCATGTTATTTAATTAAATTGTTAAAATGATCTAAAAATTAATTGTTATAAAAATATTTACTCGATTTCCTACCCGATTAATCGGGTAGGAATACCACACCTGTCAGGTAGGATAGGTCAAGAAAAAACTCTTCCGCAAAGTATTGGGTAGGAAAACGGAAGAGCATATTTCCTACCCGTAGGTAGGATGAACACCCCTATTTAGTCTTTTGGATGCATGTTAAGTCTATCTATGAAAGTAACAATGTTACAAGATAATCTTTGTTGCTAGTGCTATGCTGGGCCGGCCCAACTTTTAGGCAATTAAGTTGTTTGCCTAGGGCCCCAAATTTTAGAGGGCCCCTACAATATTTATCACTTTAGTATAGTAGGCCTAATTTTTTATTTTTTATTTTTTATTATAGATATGATTAAAATTTTAGGGTCCAAATTTTATTAGTTCAGATTAGTATCTAATTTTATTAGGTTCAAAATTACTTTCTACTTGGTTAAGCCCAAATTTTAGAGACCTCCATAAAATTTACCACTTTAGTATAATAATCTTTTTTATTTTTATTTTTATTTTTTTGTATTTAGATATGATTCAAATTTATAAGGCTCAAATTTTAATAGTTTAAATCAATATCTAATTTTTTTGGGTTCAAAATTACTCATTCGTGTGAGCTTTGATTTAAAATTTTCTAAATATTTTAGGTGTGTTCATATTTGTATTTTACTCACTCACATAGAAAATTTATATTCATTATTTTTTGTGGTAAAAATCTATAAAATTGGTTCATTTTTTGTCTTAATATAAATTTTCAGTCCAAATAATATATACTTAAATTGTCTATGTTATTAAAGTTTTGTACTTCATGCATGCACATTATTGATGGGTAAAGAATGATTATTTATTATCTTAAAATTATTCTTTACTTACATATTCTATTATTAAATTATTAGTTAAAAATTTAAATTAATAAAATTTTATTTACAATCAACAATATTAACTATTAAAAAAATTATTTTCAAAACTTGATCAATATTTCAAATTTTTAAAAAAATAAAAAATTATTTTTTAAAACATAAAAAAATATAATAATTAAAAATAAAATATATTAATAGACAAAATATTAATAGGGCCTCTTATGAAAATTTTGCCTAAGGCCCCGCTTTACCTTAGGCCGCCTCTGGTGCTATGGTGCTTGTGTAGGTGCTAAATTTGGGGCCTATTTGGTTTACGTTTCAAAAAATAGTATTCGAAAATAATTTTTGAGAAGAGTTTTAAGAAAGTGGATTTGATATTTTTTGAGATAAAAAATTTGTTTGGTTAGATGATTTCAAAAACAATTTTACAATACAGAAAATAGTAAAATTTATTTGGCCGGCCTAAATATATATTTGAACAGTAATTCAAACATTAATAAAAAAATATAAAAAAAAATTATTTTTATAGTGACAATTTCATAATATATATATATATATATATATATATATATATATATATATATATATATATATATATAT